TCTGTTTCTGTCCACTTTGAATGAAGTTACGATTATCTGAAGGTAAAATTACTGGTTTTGTCTCTGGAGTCTGGTGGGCCGTACTCACATTGTTTTAGTTTGAGATTCTAGTGCTCTAGTGCGCCATCTAGTGGCAGTGAATTCTGTATATATAATCATTAAACTCTTACCTCAAACTCCTCAGACAGCAGGTAGTTGGAGTCGGCCTGCAGTTTGTTCAGATGGGACTCAAAGTGGCAGGCTTTGATCGGACTGCACACACACAGATATTATGTATTAACGCACTTTTCAAACATTAACAGGAATTAGCAGCAATGTGGAGAAACTCAGCTATCAACTATAAATCTATTTAATGTAAGAGATTCTCACCTGGTCACCCGACGATTGCTGCAACAGGAAGGAAAAGAACAGTCAGTTTTTATTAAGTAGTTATAATACAGGAAGTAAAAACTATTTTAAAGATAGTATATTTTATTTGTGCAAACGGTTACATTTAACTTTATTTCTATTCATTGTGTTTTAAATCTAAATAATAAAACTTATAATTGGTATTTTAGAACATTTAGAAGCAGATTTTCTGACTGTGCAGTCTCATAACAACAATAACTATCAGCTGTTAGCTGTAGCCTCTTATGAAGCCTTATTTCCACTGTTTGTCAAACTGACACTTAATGAGCTGAACACACACACACACACACACACAGAGGGAGTAATGAACAGATGCTGTGGACTGTGGTGGGTGAGGGATGAGGGAGCACTTTATTGGAAACTTCACACACTCACATATTGGACGTAGGAGGTATTGGAAACTAATCTCTCTCTCACATACTGAGGAAGAATAATTAAACACACACACACACACTTACCTCCTGACACCCATATATAATCCTGAAGCTGGAACCTCCTTCCACATACTCATCCTCACCACTGGGTTCTCCTGCACAGCCCTGCACACACACACACACACACACACACACACACATATTAGAAAATATCTGCAACAAACAACTGAAGATTTTACACATTCACAAGATGAATCAATAATTAGAATATTGGTTAGTTGCGGTTCTATCGTTGGAAAATAAAATTTCCCAAACTGTTCCTGTGAGATCTGGTTTTAAGAAATTGATTAAAATGACCAAATGTCCTGGAAATGTTTGTATTTTAGAAATTTCACTCAGATCACTTGACACCTTGATTGAGTCTTAAAGTCTTTCTTTGAGATATAGAAAGAAATAAAGAAGAAAAGTCAATAAGAATCAGTTTTATCTAAATTATTTCAAATGTTCTTCATTTCTTTAATCAATGAACATTAATTACATCTTTAATAAAAAAAAATTTCATAGATTTTTTGATGTTTGTTGACAAATGTCAGGTTACATCCATCTTAACCCACAACTTATTTAATAGCATCAATAGCACATTTAAATGTAATTTAATTAACACTTACACAAAAAATCATTAAGATAAAAACCTTAATTTATATAAACTGAAGATATTTGGGTTGAAACTGGAAAATGGAAGTGACTTGGAATAAGTTTTTTCGGGATCGAGTCAATTTTTTCCATTTCTGTGAGCAAAATGTTTGTTTGTATACACATATACAACTGTACGTGCAGTGAACACTAGAAGATTCTTCTGGGCTGTTGCCAAATTAATTAATTTGCAGTTTATATGACGTTTGTTTAGATTAAGAGAATTAGATTAAGATTAGGAGCTAAATCGTGTCAATCTGTCTTTCTGTGTACTCACACTTTGCGTAGCCTCTGTCTGTAGACCAGCAGCGAGATGATGGCCACCATCATACCGATCAGGAACATCCCGGCACTCAAACCCTCCACCACGCCCCCTAAAGGCTCTGACACACAACAACATTGTCTATGTGAGCAGCCGTTGCAATGCATTCTGGTAGCGCTTCACGTTGCCCGCTCCTCATTTGCATAACGTAGAGGTCTACATAGAGTGTGTGTGTGTGTGAGACTCACCTGCGTGCGTCCTGAGCGGTGAGGACAGGTAAGTGTCGGTGAAGAGCGGCTGAGGAAACTCTCTGTGGTTTTCATCAAACAGTCTGGTGAACGCTCGCACACTCAGCCTGAACACACACAATCAATCAATCAATC